TATGATTGGTACCAAGTGCTAATTTGGTGTTTGATAGTAAGGTTGTTCATTGTCATTCACTTATATAAAAGAAGGGGCCATTTTCATATGGGTGCACATGGGTTGGATAATTGAACGAGTGGATGAGAAGTGACCACTCATTGCCAAACACCAAATTTGGTGATTGATACCAAGCATATCCATTATTATATATATATGTAATTTTTTGGTAACCGAGCAAGACTCGCAGAGAACTTATTAAGAAGTATTATAAAATATACATGAAGTAGAAGAGGGAGAGAAAGGAGATGAGCAAAAGGATGAGATGAGATGCAATAGAATATGAGGCAAAGGACTAAAAACTAGAATAATGGTTATATAGAGTAAAACAGAATAAACTTGAGTGGATTGGAGCATATGTCCATCAACTTTTTTACCCTTCATTAATGCTTTAAGATTTGTGCTACACATCATGGCTATCTTTGAGATTTATGCCTTGATGTGTATCCATGGTTTTAAATATCCGTTATTGGAGTAGAGCGACCAAAATTCATATGGGATCCCGGTTATCGGGATAAGTAGTTAAAATCGAAGAGAGGTTTTTGTGATGGCGGAGAGAATTAGGATTACACGATGAGCAGATGTGAAATAGAATAGGATAACACGGTTTTTGTTTAGCGGACATGAGTCAGGTACGGAAAAAAGGGTTTTTGCCTCCAAACCCGAACCGATTCACTTAGAATGTTAAAGTGTCGAAAATTGGGCAATTTCTAACTCATGAGAAATTGACCGCTTCATCGGATTTACACCAATATATCGGGATAAATTGGCCAAAGATGATATGCGATAAATTTTTATAGAAATCATATCGGTCATGGCCCAAACCTTATATATCGACGATAAATCAATAAGATCGGCCTATTTTTAAAACGCTATGTATCACACACTAACACAAATCTCAATGTAAAATCGGTGGATAAAAAAGTTGGTGAACAAATGGCTCTTATCCACTTAAGTTTGCAAAAGCTTTATTCTCTCTCTCTCTCTCTCTCTATATATATATAGTAATGATATGGTGAGATGAAATTTTATCGTAAGATGGACTAATCGGGTCATCAAATTCATGATTTGTACCATACATATTGTTCAAAACATCATTAAATGTATACGATTACATTTTAATACGGTGAGATGGTGAGATGAAACTTTATCGTGAGATAGACTAATTGGGTCATTAAATTCATGATTCATACCATACATCTTGTTCAAAACATCATTAAATGTATATGATTAAAATTTCACATAGTTTAGGGTCTTCTAGGATATGAATAAAACTAGTTTAATATGTTGATTTTTCATACAACTTAAATATTCATCCCTTTTGCTCATAGCTAAAAGAATAATTAGAAATTTGACAATGATATAATTTTTTCGGCATATAGATCATGATGAATGCAAATCATGATGGGAGGTTTCGATCAGCATTCCAGGTAGCCTATTCCAGGTAGCCTATTGGGCCACCTCACGTTAAAGATCTCGTCTCACCCTACTATTGTGTCTCCATTACCTCTACCTTGATGTTAGGCTTTTCCATAGGGGCTTTATGTTTACCCGATTCAGAAGTAAGTGTATTCTGTAAAATTATCTGAAACTTTTCACAATGAAGGTTGATTGTTTGAAGAGTATAATTTCTATTGCTTTAATCCTGTAGTGATTTTTTCCTTGGGTATATAGTTGAGTAATTCTTATTTTTTTGGGGCTATGAAAACATTGGTTCTACAGACATTTAAAAATAAATCAATTGGGTTAATCTAATTGCAATGTTTATTAAGTATATGTTGCTGCGCAAGTATAATTTCAACTTCGCATGCTTATAGATTTTCACATGCTTATAGATTTTCTTTGATCTTTTCAGTTGATTGAGCACTTCAAACAGAGCAAACCATGGAGTTGGACATGTTCCAAGCCAAAAGAGTCGCGGCCAAGGAGGCCAATTGACTTTTCTAGCAATGACTTGGAAAGAGCACTGTTCCAAAAATTTCTAGACAGTACATTTGAACAAAGGTAACTGCAGTACTCTCTAATTACATTTATTGATTCAACTTATGCATGAGCATAATCAAGAAGCAGGATCATGATTGTTTCTGAATGTTACTTATCTAAAATTTGCTTACTCAACTTTCATTTGGCATCTCGAGTACAGCATAACACCTCCTAAAATTAAGTCAAAACTTGTATGTAGTCATAAGGGTTAAGACTTAGAGCCAAGCTGCCCAACCTTGATGCGGATATACAACGTGAAATGAGATTAGAAGCTGAACATGTGAAAGTATCTTTTAGTGAATCTCCCAGAAATCTTAAATTTAGTTTCAAATAAAAATCCTAACTTTTTTATTCTAGAACTCATTATGCAATTACATTTTTACCTAACACAAAATCTAGGTATGTTTTATAAATCTATAAAGCAAAAAGTTAAATAGTAAAGCAGCAGAGCTAGTTTTTAACCTGGATACGGAACAGTTGAAATAGAAAATCTGGCTTTTCATTATCGAATGATAACTTCATCTCATAATGTTTGGTTGACCTGGTAAATAGGACTACCTCGGATCGGTGGATTAAAAGAAATGTGATCCTAAACTCGAGATACATATTGGGTTTCAACTGATTTTCCGACCTTTGTTGTAATACTTTTCCTTCCCATTTGAGAATAGTCTACAAAACTTCAGCAGTAAGTATTACAAAAATTGATGATGGCTGGAACTTCAGTACATGAGGAAATATTTGTTGATTATACTTCTATTTAATTATGCTCCTTGACATATGTATTCTCAGTGTATATTCCTTGTTCAACAACTTTAATTCACTATGGCAAACAGGCAAAGTCCCTTCCTACACCAAAAATTCAAATTTATAGTGAGGATTATAATTTTTCACTCTAACACGCTAAAATCTGAATCAATGTAGCTTTTATGCTCTAACACTATATGATACTTGACATAATTTACGAGAATAAAGCATTGCATAATGACATGGGAAACTTGTATATTCATTGTGTATGTGTACAGGTGTGCGTTTATTATCCTTGGTTCTGTTTACATCAGAATCAGAAATACAAACTTTACTTTTTAAGCCAAGTGAGAATATTCTACAAAATGTCAGCAGTAAGTATTGCAAAAACAGATGATTGTGTGACTTCTGTATGTGAGGAAACATTTATTGATTATACTTTTATTTAAGTGTGATCCTTGACATATGTATTCTCAGTATTTATTCGTTGTTCAACAATTTTAATTCACCATGTCAAAGTCTCTTCCACTACACAAAAACTCTGAATCAGAATCAGAAATACAAACTTACTTTTTAAGCCAAATGAGAATATTCTACAAAATGTCAGCAGTAAGTATTGCAAAAACAGATGATTGCTGTGACTTCTGTACGTGAGGAAACATTTATTGATTATACTTTTATTTAAGTGTGATCCTTGACATATGTATTCTCAGTATTTATTCCTTGTTCAACAATTTTAATTCACCATGTCAAAGTCTCTTCTACTACACAAAAACTCCGAAGTTATGGTGAGAATTATACTCTTAACACGCTATATGAATCAATGTAGCTTTCTATAAATTTTGTTAGAAGTCTTTCCATAAGAGTTTTTCTCCTCTTGATGACAGTAATTTTTTTCTGTGTTATATTCTAAACTTAGCCAAACAACAAAAACCCGTGCAATATGCTCCCATGTGATTGAGCAAAAAACCAGGAGTGTTCAAAAACATCTAAACAAGTATTTTTTTTCCTGTATTGAATTTTAAGATTAGCCAAACAACAAAAAACTGTGTAATATGATCTCTCATGTGTGAGTAAGAATCGGGAGTGTTTGAAATTATCTCCACAAAATATCATGACCCGTAAATATGGAAAGTGTCCAATCCTATGTTGCATGGGTACGTGAACGAGACATGGATGATTTGTTAAAGGTAGGGTATGGGGACGTGACTATATAAATATATATATACACATATTATTTATTGGAATTATAATTTAGATTAGGTCAATGTTGTTTTCATTCACATGTTATGAGAATTAAAATTAGATCTTTTAGTTTCTTTTATTATGTGGATTATAAATCAAAAAATTGCTAGTTTTTGAACTAGGCATCCCAGTGGTCCTTTAGAATCATTGTTCGGAGCCTGACCTATGTCTGACGACCAGCAAGTTCCATAGAGTGAATGTGAACTGCAGGATATATGTTGAGAAAATGTATGAGAAGTATTTTAAATTAAAAAATATATCGTATAATTGAGTAGACGTCCAAATAACTGTTTGCATATATGCAAGGAGTGTCAAGGAGTTTGGGTACGAGTATAGGTAATGGTACTTGTCGGGTACAAGTACATCGAGTACAAGTACAACTCTTAGATATAAGTACCCACGTAAAGTATGCCTCATCTTTTTTCGTGTCTTGGTATCATCTAGTGTCAGTGTTAGCCACATGGCTTTTGACACGGGTGTCAGTTAACTATGGTTATAAAACTCAAGAGGGACTTTATGAAAATTAGTGCTAATGAGAGTAGCATACACTAGTAGAAAAAGAGGCAATCTAGACAGAAAAAACCGTCTAGGTTGTCAAGATACCTGTCTAGTTAGACTAAACTAGATGGATTTCCGTCTAAAAATGACCGTCTAGGTTGAGTCAACCTAGATGGAAATCCGTTTAGGTTGACCAAACTAGACGGAAGGCAACCTAGACGGACGTTCGAATTCCCGTCTAGGTTGCTTCCTAGACGGTTTCTCCGTCTAGGAGCAGCATAGACGAAAAATCATAGACGGAAAATCCGTCTAGGTTAATGTATTTCACAGAATTTTTTAAATAATTGATTCCCTGTACATTTTACATTTACCCGTATATACAGATCAATACACGTATCCTGTTCATTTTACACCCACATCCAATCAAATATAATGCACAATCAATATTCGAATTCAATCCAATATACACATCCAACAATCCAGTCCAACATCCATTTCAGTAAAAATTTATCTTATCCGAATATTTACAACAGATACACTAGCAATACCAAGTCCATAAAATACTAGATGAATAAAATAGAGTACTCTTACAGATAAAAAACTGTTTAGCGCATAAAATACAAAAAACCTCATCTCATTGTCGTTGACAGCGGCTCTATCCCTCATATAAAAACCAAAATGCAGAATAACATATGCTTATTGTACACGAAGAACAACGAATATGTGTTACCAAATTTTTAAAGAAATGAAAACATACAAAGTATACAAGTTGGATATATGCGCTAATATATTTCTAATCCTTTCGGGAAGAATAGATCCAATAATTACGAATTTCTATACCTATTCTTTCTTATTATAATATAAAGCAAACAATTATTTCTTGGTAGAAAACTTCATCTCCTACCCAAATTTAACTCGCCTATTTTATATTATGAGTCCAAAGAATTGGATGTAATTATTAGACGGAAGTCTAGGGATAACGTTATCTTTTCATTCACCCAAATTGGATATATAACACATTATTGAAAATTATAATGTATTATATATCACTCTATTTTTTTTAATTTTTGTCACATTTTCACATCACCAACTTATATAATCACATATTTATAATACGAACGAAACTTAGTGTTAATCGGCTATCATGATTCGGGTGTTCAATTAGGGTTAATAGTTAATAAGTGCTCGATTAAATTTACGATTATAAGGGTTGTTCAAATAGGGAAAAATCTAATTGAGTTAGGGTTAATAACTGAAATTTTTTCAATTAGGACAAGATTCGAACTTATTCATTTTAGGTCATAATTTAAAAATATAAAATTTGAAAATTTCCATGAAAAACACACCTTTAAGGAGATGAGTGCCGATGAGATCTGAAGACGACGGACAGCAACGAGAACCGTCTATGCCGGGCAGCGACAGTCAGAATCGTCGTCCACGAACACAGGGAGTTTGAACGCAGCAGGCGGTGTACGGCTTGCAGGCGACGCCGTGCGATGGTTGCGGGTTGGTGTGCTGAGCGGCGTGGTGTGGGGCTGGCTGGATGTTGAGCGTCGGTGTGGTCACGGTCTGGAAGGTGCGCGGGAGTGCGCGTCCGGGCGTGATGCGAGGGCGTCGGGCGTGGCTAGAGGTCTTGGGGGCATCCGGACGTGCCTGGCTCGGGCACAAGCGGACGGTGTGTGTGAGCGGGGGGCTTGGTGCTGGAGAACCCGGGCATGCTGGCGGGGTCGGTGGATGGGGATGCGTGCGTGCCGCACGGTTGTGGTGCGGCCATCAGCTGATGTTAGAGGTGGGCGGGGTGAGCAAGGGGGTGCGGGGAAGGCCAGTCAAGTTTATAGGTTTTTGGCAGAAATAGATTGACGGGATTTGGGGCTCGTTAGATGGCGGCGGCGAGGGTTAAAACTGTAGCGGAGCAGTCAATATAGGTTTTTTTTTGGAGAAATAGATTGAGGGATTGGGGGGTGGGCGGCGAGGGTTAAACTGTATGGATTTTTTTGGGTGGGCCACACCCGTCAAGGATGTTGTGTCCCACACTTTAAGATTTTTTTTTTTACAAAATCCATCTAATTTGGTAATCTAGACGGAACAATCCGTCTAGATTGTATCAAACTAGATGGATCAAACTAGACCTAATTTTTTCCGTCTAGTTTGAGTCGAATAGTTTGATCCGTCTAGTTTGCCTTTTTTTCTACTAGTGATAATTCAATTATTACGCATTGTTGATTTCATTTTTATAATCAGCATTGTTATTTCCTTTATTTCAGTTATGCGATGAGTGAAGCTTCAGATTCGTGGATGGCCTACATGGATCGGGTATTGACCGAATGTGTACCTGATATGGAAAAGCAACGATTACATGCAAAGCTTCTTAAACTAATTGATATGTACTACCTTGCTCTGGATGCTCCGAAGAAGGGTTCAACGGTTTGTTCTTTCTCCCTGGTATCACCTATCAATTTTCAGTTCTGTGCTCCAGTCGTGGCCATCCGAGTATGAAGACTAGTAGGCCACATGAAGTAACTTTATGTTATTGCCTTAAGTCATTTGTCTGTATTTTATTGTCTTCTTTAAAATTAAGACGATAACTATTTCTTCGAAACTTGACTGAAGAGTTGGGAGTTATTATGAATATATTATTTAAAGGCACATTTCACAGCCGCAAAAATATATTATTTTCCAGTGAGTAATATCAAATGTCTAAATTTAAGTATTAAACTAGCAACTAGAGTATTGATTTATTTAATAAATGCTATGTTGCATAGGTACTTCTACTTTAAGCCATGATCGTGTTGTGCTGGTACCAAGCATCGAAACTTTAGTAGACACTCCTTTTATTTGCATACGCTTATTCAAATGTGCACTCAATTATATAGTACATGTTTTAATTTAAAACACTCATCATATACTACACAAGCACCCACACAGCAACCCCTCCCTCCCCACCACCTCCCCCCAAAAAAAAACCTTCCACATGCAATTCTTGAAACTCATTGGACATAAATTGGGTTCATTTCAGCCCGTACCGAATTCAAAACTATGATTATAAAGGGTCTTTTGGATATCAAGTTAAAAGACAAGCAATTTTCTAATTTCATAGATCTATATTATAAGAGTTATATAAATGTTATATAATTATTTCATAGCATGTGAAATGAAAAAAACATATTGATTTCATGTAAATTATTACAACATATACATGTATTTGTAGTTGTGTCGTCATACCCTACCTTTTACAATTTTTCCGTGTCATGTACCATTACCCACACTGGCATCCATACCAGTATCCCGTGTAACTTAGACTAAATACTCTTTGTAACTTAGACTAAATACTCTTTTGCATTTTGTTTCCCATTGTTAGTTCGTAGCAAGGTGGTTTGCTAATTTCTTGTCCTTAAAATTAGGTCGAAGTACCAAAGGATCTTAAGGCAGACAAGTTCCCACATTACTTAGAAAGGTCAAATAAACCATCTTATCACTCCATATCCGTATTGGGCTCTATATATGACATGGTGTCTTCATTTCAACTTCAAGAGGCCCCCATAGATGGTGAGTTTATTCTTACCCCGCAGAATATCAGCAGAATATCATTTACACATAAAGCACTGTACTTTTCAAATTATGGCAACCTTATGAATCAGCATCATATCTAAAAGCATTGTTTAATGAATTTTATTTTGTGATGTTTTCTTTTATTTTCATGATGGCTTCTCTTCTTGGCTTCGTATTTTTTCTGTGCCATTAGTTGACAGTAATTTCTTATATCAAAACTCTCCCTTTTCCTGATTATTTATCTGGGGGGTCTTTTCGAGGGTTACTCCTTACTTTGCATAGGCATCAGACTGCATTATAGAACTCCCAGTTTCGCGGCTATCAACTAGGGTTGTACAGCATTCTTTTCTTGCACATAGGTTCCTTAATCAGGAATCAGGTAGGAATCAGGTTCGCTGGGTGGTTGGTCATCCAAGCCATACAATTTTGTGGAATCTTTCACGGAGCTTTCTTTTGTGTATCCTTTTCCAGTTTGTCTAGAAAAGGTGTAGATAATCATACCACTCATGGAGGGTTTTTATTTTATTTTATTGCTTGCTTTAGCAAAAATTGTTGTACATTCATTCACAAAACTCTCTTTCTAATTCAATGGGTAAGTCTCTTAATGATGGTAATTAAGCTTTTATATTGTCCGCTATGGTACTAATGGGTCTGGACTGCTACACTTTTATTCATGGTGGGCCGAGGTTCCTGTCCGATTACAAAGTGGGAAGATGTGTGCTCTCTAGCTTGGTAAACTATTTGCTTTTGTAGCCTGAAGCAGGTTATTAGTGCTAAAGCAACCATAAGGGAAATTGGTTAATTTTATTATTCTTCTTTCTGGTTTCTTCAATCTTTTTTTCCCCTTTCTCTCCCAATTTTGTATGCCCATCTTCTTGCAACATTTTAATGTTGTCTATTATATGAAAGTTTGTTAATTGTATTCGTTTTATTTTTTCTTTTGCAGTGAAATTTTCAAGTTAGTTTTGGTTTTGTTTGAACACGTGAATCTGCTCAAATATTTTTTTTTCTTCATGGTCTCTGCAGTAGTAGAGCCACTTCCTTGCTTCAGTGAGCAGGCTCCTCAACATTGCTTGGATTTGTGGAGCACACTATACCATGAGTATAGGAAAGATATGCAAGCGGCTCTCGGAGAAAAGGACGCAAAATTGAAAAATTTAGCAGCAGAGCAAGTTACTTTGAAGTATAAACAGGTAGTGTTAACTTTCCGCAGGGTGTTTCTTTATTCTTGTTTAGCGAAGGTATATTAACTGTCATTGGACAAATGTAGATGTTATATGGAGCCGAGGAGTTTGAAAAGAGCACAAGGAACCGAGAAGATATTTTTGCGGAGGCCATAGCTATCTATCAAGTAGTTTATAATCATGTCAACCGTATGGAGAAAAAGGAAGTTGGTCGTTGTGGATTTGTATGGAAAATTGCTGGTCATGCTCTGTTTGAGCTACATGCAAGGAAACAATCTGAAGATTCCCCCATTGTAATCCAGAAGTCGGTTTTGAAGGAAATCCTACGTGTAAATTGTTAATGTTGTACATATGATCTCACTTTGTTTGAGGGTGAGTGAAAAATCCACTCGTTTTCATGTAATCTGTAAACCATATTGATGTGTTCCGCTCTTACTTTTCTAGATCAGTTGAATGATTCTTGTACATAGTAGCTTAACAGCAATATAAAGTATTATTTCTGTTGTTGAAACTTAGGGGGTGCTCGGTTCACCTATTTTCCGTTGTTGAAACTTAGTATTATTTCTGTTGTTGAAACTTAGTAAGCTATTTTCTATAAAGTGATATCTAACCAAACAAAAGAAAAAAACAACATATTTTCTATTCTATAAAGTTAGGAGCTTTTTCATACTTTAAACCAAACAAAGAAATAGTAAAAGACAAGAAATATGATACTCTTTGAGTGCTATAAAATTTTTCTATAAATTTTATAGAAATATAAGAAAAACTATATTTTGGATGTTTTTTTTCCTTACAATTTATAGAAATTGAACCAAACACCTCCTTAAAAGAGAGAAAAGGAGTATGTTGGTTTTTTCAGGTGCTCGTGTCATCGTCGGCGAATAGATTGTTAGTTTGAGACGGATGAATGTTAGCATGGGACACGTCGTAATATTACTTGAAGAACACTAGAAATAATATCTAAAACTGACCAATTTGATATCAAAAATTTAATATTGCATACAATTTTCCGATGAACTCACATCATTAATCCAAACTCACAACGTCAACTCAATAAACTAATACATACATTATTTTCCCTAAATTTCGTTCAAAATTGCATGCAAATTTCCCCCAAAAAAATCAAATACTAATTCAAAATCTAAACTAAAACAACCTATTAGGATGGGACAGAGAGAATATGCAAGAAAATAGAAGAAAGTTCTAAAAGAATTCAGAGGATTTATCCAAAATTAGGTTCAACACTAAAATAATGTATGTATTCTGAATAATCAAGTTTGCCAATCCCATGGAGTTGCAGACAAGAACTCACAGAGAGCGTGTGTTCTCTGGTGTGTAGCACCATAGGATCGAAAATCCCGTAGACATTAGTTACATGCCAAATTGCAAATAAATATTATGGGTTTCTGAATAATCAAGTTTTGCGGCATAAAAACTTCACGGGAGTGAAAACCTCGTGGAGTTTAATTATCCACTAAACTCTATCATGAAGTTCGTAGCAAAATATTTCGCAAATTTCAACCTAGTTTCAGGCCATGTCGCTGAGGCGGTTGAAATTAGGTATGAATTGCTAAATATTTTGAAAGCGAGTTGATTTTGGTAATTAAGTTTCTAAATTGGCCTATGTTGAAAATTTGTCCCTTCTGCTTTTACCATGCAGTAAAATTTTCATGCTGGCATCTCCTCATCTGAGTCATCTCCAGCACATATGACAGTCTCTCTCCATTCTCGATCCTGACTGGCAACAGATTAAACAAACAAACAAACAAATAAATAAATAAAAGAAAACCATCTTCGTAAATTTTTCAGAATGCTCGAATTTCGTCAGACTGTATCGTTGATAGGTTATGCTGTGATTTCATGGTTAACAGGAATTTATTTTACAAGTAAGAAAAGGCCTACTGAGCTGAGCAGTGGAAGATCATTCCAGTGAAGAAAATCCATTTTATTAAGAGCAAAACTGAAGACATGTTGGTTACATTTTATTTTCAGAATGTCCGAGAGTTTTCTTCACTGCGCTGTGCGATTGAACGGTTCAGCTGACTTGCTCAGTTGCAGGAGTCTCTGTTGATCATCGATTAAATCATGGACACGGGATCGCATGTTCAAAGATTGAAGGTGAAATATTGCTGTTTATACCAAAAAATTTCTTCACAGAAAACTAACTACATAATTTCTTGTACAGAAAAGCAGGTGAATACACAAATATAGCTGTCAATGTTGATACGCACGCTGGACTTCTAAGCACAGAGATCTATCCGTATACAATGTATGCAAATATTTACAGCTCAAAACTTCTGCCAGGTGGTGGAGCCTTTAACAAGAAGCGCAAAATTCGCTCTCCTTATGACGTGCTCTAATGATGATGCTATAAGCTCAGACAAATCCGGCATTTACTCTTTATGTCATTAAATTCCATTCTCATCTCTGTTGGAAATTTAGTGCTCTGATGCAGAAGGCGAAGACGAAAGCGAAGAACACTGAAAACCCCACTAGAACAACAGCTACTACTGGCATGAAATCAGTATGATATCCAAAGTGATTTGTTACGTAGAATTTTATTGTTTGGTCTTCTTGCCCGGGAACTTTGATCATGTCCTCAAGATCTCCATATTGAGTAACTATCAAACCATAAACTGTCCAAGCCAATGGGCAAATCCAGTAGTACCAGATCCACCACTTTGGAATTCTCTGCAATCAAACACAGATATAAACCGTCAGTAACTAGATCGTTATAATCATGGGTTAAATTGCGGACAGGCGCCTTGTACTATTGCCACGTTTAACTTAATGCCTTGGGATCCTCTACATCTTTGATTCTAGAGAGTGTCCACAACTCACCAACAAAAGATCTTCACTCGGTGGACCCATGAATGATACTAATTAAATAAGTTTATAAAAATCACGAAGCTGGATATGAGTAGATGTTGTTGGTCGAAAACAAAATGTCTCTCATTCACAATGGAACAGAATGGTCTCGCTTGATGCTTTTCTTTTGTGTATTTGCATATTCAGAGTTCAGGCAAAGTTCTTGAAACTTCGAAACTCAAAACCCAACCTAGAAAAGAATGCTACACTGTTCGAAATTCTCAACTTAACACGCCCCCTACTTATGGGGCCCATTAGACGAACGAATATTATTCATCTATTTAAGTAGTTGTAGGCACTCTCTACAATCAATCAATGATGTAGAGGATCTCTTCTTGAACTTAATACCTCTGTAGTTCTATTGCTGCATATAGGCCCCCAGGGTGATTTTTTGTAATCATTTTCGGGGGGTCTCTGCAACAATAGATTTTCACACAGGGGATCTATCTGCAACAATAGAATTTTTCAGGGGGGCATCTGCAAGAATAGAACTACAGCGGTAGTAAATTCATTTTGCAATAGTATAGGGGGCCTGTCTGCAGTTAACCCTATACTCATTAGTGGGCATAGTAGAGAAAGATGCAGAACTCACTGGTTTCGGAATGAAAAAGCCTGAGAACAGATTGAAGAGGGAATAAAAGGTCGCAGCGAAGATTGCAGCAACTTGATGGTTTGGTGAGATGGAGACGGCCATCATTCCGTAGTAGGTAAAGTATAGAAATGAGAAGAAGGAGATGAAGAAGAACCACAGGAATTTTGCTGCTGTCCACTGGAAACTCATCATCGCGTATACTATGAGGGAATAAAACAAGCCTTGGACAAAGACGTAGGGTATTTCGACAACCACCTGCATTGAAGGAACATATTAGCTTTGTCGGAAATATGTCTTCAGAAACATGCAAATTATTCGATCTATCATGAGTCAGATGGTTTAGTCATGTGCAACAAATGCTCGTTTACGAGGGGGGAAAAAGTTAATTCCAAAAAAACCCACTGAGCTTCAGGGGTTGTTGGAAATTCCTTCTCAGCCCAAGAAAACCCTTTTATTAAAAAGGAGAAAAAGTACTTTTTGAAACTAAGGGATTGTTTTTTTTTCTTTTTCTTTTTTCCTTTTCCTTTTTTTTTATGTCTCATGACATGTTAGAGTTGATGGTGAGGGTGCTAATTTAGGGGATTAACTGAGAAATTTTTAGGTGGGATTTACTGGAACAAAAAAGTTTAGGAGGGTTATGTGTCGTAACCCCTACAGTTCGGGGGTTTAGTGGAATAAAAAAATTCAGGCGTTAATACAGCACCCCCCAAAGTTCAGGTGGATTTTCTGAAATTAACCCACAAAATTGATAGGACTATAGTAGGCCTAAGGAACTTGGTTGGAAGTAATTAAGAATAATATGATAATTGTTCATGGAGGATATAGCCCTTATCAAAGTGGAACGGAAAAATAGGATTCATGAAACCAAGCCTAAAAGTTTGGGAGAAATGCTTTGTTTTTGTAAGTTTTTCCTACCTGAGCAATGGCATAAGGTAAGGCAGAGTACATTCCAGCAGCTCTCTCACGATAAAAGACGGTTCTTTCAATCGATACAACAGGTTGAACAGTTGAGCAGTTATTGATTCCCACAAACAAAACTGCTGCAAACATGGATCCAATAACAATTCTGAGATCATTTGCATTTCCTCTGCACCAAGAACAGATAATAATGATGTTATGCAAAGGTTCTCAAAATATATTCCATTTTGACTGCTAAGTCTTAGCATCGTTGTAAAATTACCTTTTGTGTCCAACATTCCAAAAGATAGTTCCTAAGAGTAGAGCAGTGACTAAAGTGAAGAAAAATCTGACAAGATTGTAGTCTGGGCTTCTCCAGTAAGTCCACCATTGTTTCCAGAGGCAAGCTTTAAACTGCCCAAATGTAGACTGAGAGTATTGGGTTGGGAAGTAGAGGTCTTTTGTTCCGGGTGGTGGTTGGCTCAGTTCTTCAACCAATGCCTTGTTACGCCTGATAGCATTGAGAGAAATCAGAATGTGAATGTCAGCTTCTTTGCATAGAAAATGTTATGGGTAAATTGCGGATATACCCACTGAGTGAAAACTTTATAACTCTTTTACCCTCAGGAGGTTTATTTATCAAAAAACAATTTTCTCTTTCTATGAGCGTGAAAGAGGCAACAATATCACTCATGGGGTCTGTCTGTAACAATAGAACTACAGGGGGTCTATCCACAATTAACCCAAAATGTTAAGCCGAGAACGGCTTATATCACTTACCTGTACAATTCTGATGACCTGTAATACTCTGCAAAATCGATTCCTAGACGAACTTCAGCAGAAATAGAACTTGCTTCCAGCATCCATGTTGCAGGATTGTACTTTTCTTTTATCTTGGGAACTCCAGGAATTGCCTGAGAACAATGAAAAGATGGCAGTTGTAATGATTTGCTCTTCTTTTGTTCAACAAACATGTTTCAAACTTCTAATATTAATTATGAAGTATATGATAATACTCCATAATAGAACTGAATGAAAGAATAGAATTCATGTACCCGACACCGAAAATTTGGGATAAAGTCTTTACTATTTTCATACTGATATAGTTTCAATATATATGTATGTAAACATGAAAAAATAATAAGCATCTCAACATTGCGTACCTCAAAATATTCAATTATCTTGTGTGAGTTTCGTCCCAGAGGCCCAGAGTAAATGACTTGGCCTCCCCTCTTCATTAGCAAGAGCTGTCAAAAAAGAATGAAAATAAACAACTTGAAGACGATGTGTATATGTACATAACAACAAAGCCCACATGAGCAAATGCACAAGTTTGAAAATATTAATTACCTCATCGAACGATTCGAATATGTCAATACTTGGTTGATGAATTGTACACACAACAGTTCTTCCAGTATCAACAGTGTTCCTGACGGTCCTCATAACAATAGCTGCTGCTCTTGCATCGAGTCCAGAGGTCGGTTCATCCATGAAAATAATTGATGGATTAGCAACGAGCTCAACAGCTATCGTCAACCTCTTTCTTTGTTCTGTTGAAAGTCCAGTAATCCCCGGGAGACCCACAATTGCATCCTTAAGACTGTCGAGTTCTACTAACTCCATAACTTCGTCTACAAATATCTGTTCATGAGAAAACTCTCAGTTCAGAAAATCTCACATAATTAAACTTTAGTGAAAGTTTGACAAACTCCCAAAGTTTGGCCAGTTTCTTTGGTCTTTTTACCAGTTCATCAAACACCGCTAGGGAGGAAGGTTAGTTGAAAAAATGAAAATTTATGGGGGCCTTCTGAAACAGCCTAAAGTTAAAAGGGGGTTAAGTGATGTTTTTAAAGTTTTTGAGGTTATCTCAAATTGGCCAGGATTTTGTGAAATTTACCCTAAAATTTAAAACCAAAATAGACTGAAGTAAATTGTACTGACCAACTTTTCTTGATCGGTGACTTCCTTAGGGAGACGAAGAAAAGCAGAATAAATCAGAGACTCCTTAACGGTGACCTGAGGAGAGTGGATATCATTTTGTTCACAATATCCAGAAATTCGAGCAAATGTAGCTTGATTCTTAGGGTAACCGGAGATTCTAATATCTCCTTCAATATAACCACCAGTCTTTCTTCCCGCCAAAACATCCATAAGAGTAGTCTTTCCGGCCCCACTTACTCCCATAAGTGCAGTCAAGACTCCAGGCCTGAAAGCTCCTGTTACACCCCTTAGCAACTGAAGCCTGTTTTCGGTAACTCCTTGATCCTTCATTTCCTGTCAATAAAAATGGATTACATTTGAAAAGAGTCCTCTTTTTTACTTCTTCTCTTTATAAAGGTAAATAATATGGAGAATGTGAACTTACTGCAGGCATGTCAACATAGTAATTTACTTCATTGAAAGACATGGCCAAGGGTGTGAATGGAAGAACCATTCCCCTTTTAGCAGGAACCCCATTGGCTCCTGCATCAATGGACATTTCACGAGTAAGCCCATTCGTCGAACGCCCACTCATTCGTAATATCATCATTTCTCCTGAATAATTCACATTGCAATCATCTTAGTTTATAGTTATATGCATCCTGAATTTGGCCGTGAACCTTTTTAAGAACTGAAATCGCTTACTGGTGTTGTTTGCATCGTTTTTAGACAAAGCTCGAGGAATGGAATTATCGCTTGACCCCATCCTTTTAATCCTTGGAGGCTCTTTTTCATCTCGGTTGTTTTCCATCTCTGATGCTGTTTCTTCTGGTATAACTGCTTGTGCTTTTCTGAAAGCTGTCATCAAACAACATAAATTTAGAAGTGACCAAAGAAGCTCTCATTTCATGAACCCGTGAAAAAAATTAAGTTTTATTAATAAAAACTTTTTTTTTCTTTTTTCTTTTTTCTTTTTTATTGTTAAAAAACTTGATTTTTTCATGAATTCGTTAAAAAAATAAGTTAAACTATATAAATTTGAGCATCTCTTGAGTATAACTCCTGTAACCTTAAGGGGACTGAGGGCTCTGTTCACCAACTCCGTACCCCTTCAATTTGCTTTGAGATGTATGCTGATGTGTGACACACATCAAGCTGCACATCTCAAAAGTAGCCTTGATGAGTATCACATCACCACACATCTCAAAGTAAATTCAACGGACAAAAAATTTGATGGACAGAGCCCAGAGCTTTCACACATTTCTTAATCTCTATACATAATAAATCTTAACTGTTTCAAATTGTGGAATCATATGTAAATTTGGAGGGTTAGTTAATACTATTCACAAGCAAAATGTAGTCACTTACGATCGAGAAACATGAGAGCAACCGTGAAAAGAACATTGAACAGGATAGCAAATCCTAAAAGTGCAGCAGCTCCGATCCAAAACCACTTTTTCTCGGGGAACACATTGGCATTCTCAAGTACTGCAACTCCTAATCTCCTACCATCAGGTGCCTATTTTTCATTATGTACATACTTGTCAATAACGCGAATACAATTTGGACAAAATGAAAGACTGAATAGTCCGAGTGCTTATAAGAAGAACTATTTGCTATGTCATATTCTCAGTGTAAACAACTTACAATTTTGTTCATCCACCTGGGAGCCAACAATTCATTTACTGCAAGAGCATTATATCCATACTGCAGTGGCGAAATCCAATATCCCCAGATCCACCATTTTGGAATCACATCTGTTAAAAATGGACAATAGAGTCTCTTTAGGGATATTTCAGCAACTTGAACTCATCCAATTCATAGTTATTTCTTAAAAAGATATTGATATTTTTCATATATGATAGGTACAAGTGTTCTACAGCTGATTATCAGAAAAGATTGTAAGCTACAGATTTTATTATTAGTTAATAAGCTAAGTCCCTTTTCAAGGTAAGCCTGAGATTTTTTCCCCCCAAGCCACTTCATGTTCACCTCTTTTATATTTGCAAGCTCATCTCTGAAGTTCAAGAGACGTTAGTTAATTCAATGTAAATCAAAACTAGGCCACCCAATATCTTATGCAATCAATACCTCTAGATATAATGCATACTTCTTATCAACTGTAAATTTTCTAACATGGCTATTATTTTTCCTATCAAAGAAGAAACTTACCTATCACTTATATAATCTGATTTCTAATACATAAGCTCAACGTGCAAAGTTATAAACTACTATATATAATAAATTGAAAATGACCAATAAAAGAACACTAAAAAATGACTCATTTATTACCAAATCTCTAAGTTGACACCTTTAGCTTGAAAATTCTATCTTAAAGTCAAAAAATTTGAACCTCTTGGTAAGATGAACCCTCCGAGTACAAACATGATGAGAACAGAGAGTGCTCCTCCCGTATTGGCAATTATCATCGTCCTGCAAATACCTGCTGTAGCCCTAAATAACCCTGCTGCCATCTGCTGGATCAGAAAAACTAGCAGAAGTTGCTTGAAGAACCTGCATTGAAAATAAATTTACGTAATTAACACTAAAACAGAACGGTTCTTATCAATCTAGAACATACAAAACATCTGATATTTTTACCTGCTAGCTTCGGGGGCAAACCCAATGGAATAGTAAGTCATTATAACCCAAACGACTGACTCAAAAACTGAAATGGGGATCCTTAGAAGAAAGTTTGGTAGAGTATAGACCCATGCAGGATGAAAGAGGAGATCCCTATGCTTGTAGAATACAGGAAGCCTTTGGATAGTGATGGATAAATCTGCAAACCCATTAAACATGTTGACAATCAAGCCAAACAAAAGGGCACCGATATAAACACTTCCATCCTCTTCATTTTTCGTGTGCATCTTAGTTCGTATAAACACCGTTGAGGCAATGATGGCCACTACTATGATCTGTGGAACACACGAGAAATTATTAATATTCAAGGTCTATTAAGGACTCTTAAATTAAGCCCCTCTAACCATTACACCAAAACTCTTTTTTATGGGCTAAAAAGATTACATCTTAAATTAAATCCCTCTAACCATTAGGCCAAAACTCCGAAGTTATGATGACGGCCAAGGATTATAATTTTATATTAATTCTAACATCTTAAATTAAGTCCCTCTAACCATCACACAAAAACTCCGAAGTTATGGTGAGGGCCGAGGACTATAGTTTTATATTAATTTTAACATGTCCCCCGCAGGTTGAACACCCTTTTCTATGAGCTGAAACCTGGACTCCCGAAGCGGTATCAATTTTTAGAAAATTCGCTTAAAATTCGTGGTCAGTGGGATTTGAACCTGAGTTGCTCTGATACCATCTTAAATTAAGTCCTCTCTAACCATTACACAAAAACTCTGAAGTTATGATGAGGGTCGAGGGTATAATTTTATATTAATTCTAACAAGGACTATGATATTGTAGGGTTAATTGCACATAGACCCCTGTAGTATTGTTGTTGCAGTTAGACGCCCAAGGTTAAATTTTCTTGCCTCTTTTACTTTGATGAACGTTTGGCATATTGCCCCTGGGTGAAATTAGGAGTCTATCTGAGGGTAAAAGAGTCAAAATATTAACCTGTGGGGTCTATCTGCAACAATGAAACTACAGTAGTAAGTTCAAAACAGCGTAGTACAGGGGTCTATGTGAAAGTCACCCTGTAGTAGGATAACACAATGAGCAGTAACTCACCTGAACAGTTTTGAAGACGTAAACAAAAGCGTTGCGTTTGATGAGAAGCCACTCTTTGCCAAAGGAAGCTTTGAGGAGTTCAGAATAAGGGACCAAATGCTTTGAGAAGACAAGGGCAGCTCTATGGCTACGACTCTTGTCAAAGGGGATCGAGAGTTCATTCTCTAGGCGAAGGCCAACATGAAATTTCTTGAACCTTTGCGCAAATTCAGATACCGATATGTAGCGGTAAGGCTTGCTTTTATCTGCCCAGTACTGCTCTTGATCCTTTCTTGATGTTACCTTAAAAAAAAAAGAAGGCACTACTTAAAATTCAAGTCATAAGAGCCAACTAATCAAAATATTATTGCTAAAAAACTCTAAATCAAAGTTTTCCATTGGAAATGTTGAATAAATGACATTTAGCTGTCTGGACAGAATAATACAATTGGTTGTGCTACTTGGCAACTATTTTAAGGCAAAAAATTTTGTGCACAAAAAAATAACATAAATTCCATAGAACGATTGCTTAAAATCTACAAAATTGTGTCTTAACAAACATGTTGTGATGTGATTTTGACCTAGACTAATATCACCTTAACAAACATATCATTGCCTAAAACAACTTAAACTAAAGTGACACTGGGCAAGAAAAAAGAAAAGAAAAACTCAAATAAGATGACAGAAATTATCCTCTCAGTTGTCATTTTGTACAATTTCTAGTAAGATTTGCTCATACATAAAAAACTAGGGTTAATTGTAGATAGAACACCTTCAGTTCGGTTGTTGCAGATAGGTCTCCTTACTGAAATTGCAGATAGAACATCTTCAGTTCAGTTGTTGCAGATAGGTCTCCTTACTGAAATTTTTTGACTCTTTTACCTCAGAGAAAAGAAATTGTTTTCTTTTTTCTTTTTTTTGACAAATAAACCTCCCGAGGGTAAGAGAGTCAAAAAAATTCACCCAGGGGATCTATCCGCAATTGACCGATAGTAGAAAGGCTTCAGGGGGTCAATCCGCAATTAACCTTAAGGACAACATAAATAATAATTTTATTACCTCTTGCAAGAAGTCAGCTGTGCCTTTCCTGTCAGGGCAAAGAAAGCCACATGTCTCAAAGAAACCGAGGACAAACTCCCGAGGTCCCTGATACACAATCTGACCCTCTGATAGAAGGATGATGTCATCAAACAGGTCGAAGGTCTCAGGGGCAGGTTGAAGGAGGGACATAAGTATGGTGGCCTCTCCGAGATGAACAATTTGCTGCAGGCATTTCACAATTTGGAAGGTGGTGGAACTGTCCAAACCAGTAGATATCTCATCCATGAAAAGAGTTTTTGTTGGTCCAACAATCATCTCACCTTGAAGAATTTGATCAAATGATTGTTAGATTGAAGCACAAAGTAAATTTATGGTTATTAGTGAAAAATTAAAACTAATATTACTCATTTTGTTTCTGCTGGAGTACTATTGCTGGTTGATGCATAAAGAGAGGTAAGAAAGAGATTAGTTATACCAACACTTGGTTTCTTAAGACATAAATAATTTTGTCAAAAACATGTTAATATTAGTGCCATATTGATTTCTCACACGCAAGTCCCCTTCAGAGATCGAACAAGAAACTATCCAGAAATTGTTACCCTAGGTTTATGTGGGACTAAAGGAAATGTAGGATTGATAAATCAAGTAAACATTGCTTACTACAGCCACAGTTTCAGCTCAAAGATTAGATAATTCAACGAGTCAATTATCTTCCATTGTTATTACATTTTGTACCTGATTTAATTTTTCCTTTCATCAATAAAAGATGTAGCATAATGTCACATGCTATCTCAAATATCACTTTGTGCACTTACTCATGTATAATGTGTTACACATTGATTTAGATAAGTTCTTGTTATATGTATGACGGACATCAAAGTAAACGCACCAGTAGTAACACGCTTCTTCTGCCCGCCAGATATCCCTCTCTGCATCTCATCACCAACAATGGTATCGGCACAAATATCCAGCCCCAATATCTGCATCCATTGGTTCAAGTGTCAATCTCATGTCATTACTGATCACACTAAAATTTTCTAATAAATTTACATTTAAAATCATTCGTTACGAACAAATATTGTAGTTACCCTCCACCTTGCCATATGATTGCTGAGCCTCAAAGGGACATAACAACAAACATCTCAAGTGCATTCCTTGACCAAAAGTTGATGGAACCTACTCCCTTTCTACCAAAACAAAACCAAACTTGGGACATTTGGTTTCCCCAAGGGCAAGGGAATATAATCATCATATATAATTATAAGCTATAGAAGTAAACAAAGTTGGTCACCAGCTAAAAGGTGTAATGGGCCCACGTATGGCCCACAAACCGTCATATGAGTAGGTGAGCGTATTGTCAAAATAACCTCATCATTATTCAGAATTGTCAAAAGCGGGCCATGATTACGGATCAAAACCAACAATCATGATTCTGTCATTATCTAAACTTGGCATCATCCTAGTCACGTGCTCTGTTCACCTACTTATTTAGTTTGAATTTGTCAACATGAAAGTACACAAAGGTCCAATTTCTTATACCAACAAAAGAAAACAAAATATAAGTTGTCACAGCACAGTAAATCTTCTTTCCGTAACAAATTGATAAATAAATTAGAAGCATACCTTGAGGGTGTAATCTGTTTGCAAATTACTCTCAACTCCTTCCATTGCAGTTGCCTGAAAATTTTAAAGCAAATTAAGTAAGGTAAATAAAAAAACATACTATAATTAGCACCTGCAATTATAACCATAACTGAGACTAAGTTGTTTATTAAGTTAGTGGTCCACACCTTCATGAAGAGATCAACTTCAGGCTCAGGGAATATCCCTGCTGCCCTCTCTCTCCTTGCCAACTCCGTTAGTAGGTCTGCATCAATTTTTGTTTAAGTTACAGATCGTATCAATATACAAAAAAGCCAACTTATAATTTAATTTTAATTACGAATGAAGAACTAAACAAGAGTTACCGTATCTAGCACCAACTCCTTGGCATCTTGCTGAGAAATCTAGTGTTTCTTTCACAGTCATTTCTCCTACGTGAATATCATTCTGACTAATGTATGCTGCTGTTTTCTGTGGTACAAACTCGTTGAGCCCATACCCGTTATACGTAATTTCACCTGTAGCCTACATTATACGAAAAGTAACAGCATTTTAGTAAAAATGTTACTACTATATATAAAAAAAATCTTTATTTTGTATCCAACCTTCAATGATGGGTCTAATTTCCCAGCAAGTGCTAGTAATAATGTGGTCTTTCCTGAAGATGGAGGGCCTAATAGAAGCGTCATCCTGTAAACCAAAAAAAATCAAGAACTATGCGATGTTATTAGCTTTATAAGCATATTTAATTAGGGTTAATTGCACATTTGCATATACATGCCTATAGTAACGCGTTGCGTCACTTACTACCCATTAAGTTGGCATTGGAAGATGCACTCCTAAATGAAATTTCACTCAGGGGTGCATCTGCTAAGATCAAGATAATGAGTGTCTCTGCGCAATTAATTAAGCATGTTAATTATGTAGTTAATTAAGGATGAATTGGATTGAAACCTTGAGGGTTTTATAATTCCTGAGGCATCTCTGAGGATCGTGAGGGTAGTTCTCTTAGCTAGTCTTATGCCCACCATGCCCAAAGCTGATTCCGCAAAGTTTCTAGCTTGATTTAAGAGAGTGGGCAACGCTCTGTTTCCTATGTAACACTTGGCCTCAACTGTTAAGTGCTCAAACCTTACTTCTAATGTTGGTAGATTAATTCCAACCCTGCATTTAGAGGGGAAAAAAAGGGGTCAAAATACTATCGTTATCATGTATAAGTCAATTACTTTGCAAGATTGATCACTTTATAAAAATGCAAATGTTAGGATATGGTAGCTAGAGAGGAGTCAGCATCAACCAAGCTCAGTCAATTTCTACCGAGTCAGATTATAATTTAGGACCTACTCCCAAGCTACCTACCCATTGTGGTGGGAAAAAAAAAACAATAAACATAAAGCAACAAACTTCAGAAAGACTCATGTGCACATATTCTTCGTATCGCGACCCTCGACCTACCGATTCTTGATGCCGCTCCGCAGCTGAACAAAGGCTAATTCTCACTACAGCTAAGAACGAATGGAATGAATCCCACCAACGATTCAAGAAAACAAAATGTTAATATATAATGATAATGTTTGGTGTAATCACACTAATTAGTTTCGTCCTATTTTGGTTTTATCTATCCTCTAGCTGCCAATTAATTCATGAGAAAGAAGTCCCTGTTCTTATATCTCATTATATAATCAATATTGAACGCTAGCTACCCTTTCATAGTCATAAAAAGGATAGCCCTCCCTATTGCATAACGAGTTGGCATGAGTTGGCATGGTCAACTCATTATGCAATAGGGAGGGGACACCTCACATGTCCCCTCCCTTGGTCCCATATTTTAGGTCCTTAAATCATTTTCCAAAAGGATAATACAAAGATGCTTGTGCAATTAATCCAAAATAAAAATTCAAAACAATCCGCAAGATCGAGGTTTGGCCCATTCTTGATATATATAACATCCAAAGAAAGAAAGTAAGTTTGAAAATTAATGTCGCTTAACCCCCAGAGAAACCTCTAATATTTAGGGTCATATCCCAAGATGTTTTGGGTCGTCAGGTGACATTAATTTAATTTTCAGACTAAGTCAACAGGACAAAATTTTATGGATGTTTAGAAAAAAAAAAAGAGAAAAAACTAATGCGCACTTATATGGATCGAAGGTGAGAAGTTTAATTAAGTTAAGAGTAAGAGAGATTAATCAAGAAACTAATTAATTACTTGTCGATCCGATTCCTCAACTTCCTCAAGAACCTCTCATTATCTTCCTCCGCCACCCCTAAACACCCTCCGATGAACTCCTGCCTGTCCCCGACGCCGAGCTTCCTCACATCGACCTCCTTGTGCTCGTACCTCCCCACCCTCCTCCTCCTCTCCTCCTGGTGGTCCCCTTCGTCCCCCACCACCGACCTCAGGATCCCAGTCCTCAGCCTGTTGTAGGTCCGCGCAGCTTCTCAAGCGCGGCCCACCGGAGGGCCTCCTCGTCGTCGTCGCCCCTCGAGCTCGCTCTCGCACCGGGCGAGTTTGCGTTTCTTTGAAAAGCTTCGTCCACGCCCCAGTTGGCCATGTTGATGTTGACGTTCACGCTTTGCCTCAGGCTCCTCCTGCCCGAACCCCACACCTTCTCTATGTTCTCCATGTTGGCGTACGTACGTACGTCTTTAATTCTCACAACTCGCAAGGAAAAGGAAAAGGAGAAGGAAAAAGAAAATGCTGTACTACGTGATTAACCAGATTTATGTACTTAATTAGTGTTAACAAGATTGACCGAAGGGAGCGCGGTTGGTGAGCGTTGGGTCCGTTCGGTTTTGTGTGGGGTTTATTTTGTGAGCGGATCGATGTCTTTTTGCACGTATATACCCTTTTAATTATGCGTATAGTTTGGCCAAACTATGGTCAGCATCCCAATATATGCGGTTGGTGAGCGTTGGGCCCCTTCGGTTTGCTTCCTCCGTTTTGCCAAATTTCTTACGGTTTACGGTTTGAGAGATATCTGTATTTTTGTCCGTTTTTTACTATTTTTAGTAATGCTTTAAGAGTCTGTTTTGATTTGGAAACAACGCCGATTTGATCTCAGATTTGGCCGGTGGACTTTCCTAGTCGTAAGAAGTCTTTTTAGGAGTTTTAATGTTTTAGGAATTCTTTTACTATTTTTAGTAAGTTAGAGTCCTTATAGTAGTTTGAGTCCTTGTAAAAATATTGTTTATTTTCTATTTAAGTAGGGTCATGTAAGCTCTAGAGGCATAACTTTTGATTAATAAAATTTTGTTTTTCTTCAATATTTACTTCGTGGATTCGAAGCTTTTTGTAGATTTGAAGATTGTCTTTGGTGGATTCCAATGCTACTATTTCCGCGCTGCGTCATATAATAAAGTTGATAATTTGTTAATTTGAACGTTATCTTTGCAGATATACAAGCAATAAATGTTAATGATAATATTAGCTTTATATAGATGTTAACAGTGTGAATATTTTGGATACAAGCAATACTGTACTATGCACCAAACTGGCTAGTTGAGTTCTTTTTCCCAATGTGAAATATTAGACTTTTTCACATGCAATGTATCAAATTTAAAAAATATATCATAATTTTATAACTACCAACACTGTCCTATCTTTGAATGTAGTAGCCATGTGGAAATAGTTTAGAAAATAGAGTCGACTGACTAGTTATCGCTACTCATTGAAAAGTTCACCTCGGTCGATCAATAGTCAAAATTAGTAGAAGAAAATAGGTGGGCGTGGATATACTGAGTTCTTTGGCATTTAAAAGTTTAAATATAAACATGTATGCAAATACTAATAGCTTAGCACTGTTTTAAGCAATTTTCTCTAAGTATCCGGAATTCCCTTTGAAACACTTCAATCCAATTATATATATGTTCACATATATGATAATACGATTTCGTTCCGTCACTGAGAAATAAATATGCGTGATATGAGAAGCTCTCGCTCATTAATTTTCTATTCACTTAAATTGCATGCTCGTAAAATTCTTCTTTCTATTTCTTAATTTTCTTCCTCCCGTGAATGAGTAGATCCGCTTGTTAACTAGGATTAAATGTACTCTTTAAATTCCACTAATATTTCGATGTTTAAACACAATATATATAAAAGACATAAAATATAATTGCAAATCCATCCACTATATAAACATGTATTTTTAACATCAACTTGTAATTTTATCTAACTCTGTCCAAACAGGCCGATTTTTCGGGCCGGGCTGGGCAAAACCGGAGCCCGGACCGGGCATCGGGTTGACCCGGTTTTTTTTCCGATTTTTTTAATTTTTTATTTCTTTAAAATTTCAAGAATATATAGCCAAAAATCAATCAAATTTTTAATAAAAACAATTATATTATTAATCACATGTAATTACATAACTTACAAATATAAAAAATTATAAAAATTAAAATGATAAAAATAACTTCTTTATTAATAATCGATTGATTATCTACAATTATAAATTTATTTTAGAATTTATCGCATCACAATAGATGAATACATCCCAACTAGGTTGGCACCTACTCATCTATGTCACTATCATTTGCAGTTGTTTCCAAAATAATTTATCACAAATTTTTAGCTAAGAAATAAAAATTACAATTTGATGAATAATGTATACTCTTTATATTTATCTGCTAGTCCTTAACTCTTTAAATTTATCTTCAATACCAGCCATCTGATCGATGCTTTGCGTTCTCTTCTCATACCTCCACCAGTCTTGTAGGCACATTACCGCCTGTACGGTATACGAATTTAATTATATCCTATGATCGTCGATCAAACGTGCTGCTGTGCTGAAGGCGGATTCCGAAGCTACTGTGGAAACCTACACTGTTAGTAAGTCACGAGTCATAATGGAAAGTATAGGATATGAAATTATTCTATATACTTTCCACCATTGTAAAATATCTAAACTATTATTTTGACATTTAACTAAAGATGCAGTTAAATATTGATTAATTTCAGAAACCTCTGCTAATGATCCAAGTCTAGATCTACCAGTTAGCTCAGCTACCATTGATTCCCCATCAAAACTCACACTTTTGCCCCGATTTGAGCTCGTAGAAGCAGAATCGCATGTAGACTGATGTGTAGTTACACCATATCTAGCTGCATATTCATCATATAATCTATGAAAATAATTTTTAATAGTATTATGATGAGTAAGAGCAGTAATGATTTGACCATCATCAATGTCTATTATCATATTACCATACAAAGAATTTAACAAACTTTGAAGGCCAATATCCTTCAAACATGGATCAATAAGAACCCCCAAACAAAAAATAATAGGAATATGCATAAAATACTTATTAAATTTACTTTCCATTTAAAAAATTATATTTCGAAAATAATTATCTATACGATATTTATTAAATTTTTTATATATTTAAAACTTATAAAGCAGCTAAAGTAATGGTCGGATAATAACATCTAGATAATAACATAGTAGCATTATAAAAAACTTGTAACATCTCTTTTAAATTACGTATAACTGTCCATTCATCCTCAGTTATTCCATACATACTACAAGAACTAGAACTAGACGTACAGAAAGCAATAAAATCATTTATAATTTATTTATATTCTATTGCTATGCTTAACTTTGCATAGGTAGAATTCCACCTATGGTCAATATTTTTTTAGAATTAGTCTGAGTTTTAAATTTTTTTCTTTTACAAAATTATTTCTATCTTTTAATTCTTTGCTCAGCAGCATTATGAGCATAAGCTACTGTCCTAATCTTTTCTATCATGGATTTTATTTTACCAAATGCACTTTGAACAATTAAATTTAAAATATGACACACACATCTAATATGAAAAATATCACCATGACATGGCACAGAAGAGATGTTTTGATATAATTAACAACTACATTATTATTACTTGCATTATCTAGTGAAAGAGAAAATATTCTTTCTGATATTTCTAATTTTGTAAGTTCTTTAATTATTAAATTTGTAATATTAATACCAGTAGTTGACTCTTCAAATGCAATAAAAAAATAACTCTTTTAAACATTTGCCAATTATCGTCAATCCAGTGTGCTGTGATATATAAATAACCAGTTTGTGCTTTAGATGTCCAAATATCAGAAGTTAAAAAAAATTACAGTTTAAACTTTGAAAATAAGAAATTATTTTTGCTTGTTCTTCGTGATAATATTTTAAAATATCACGTTGACAAGTTTGACGAATTTTTTTTAAATGCGGGATAAAAACCATCTGTAAACATTTGTGACCACTGTGACCGGTCCGGGCGGGGCCCGGTGTGGGCGCCGACGAATCGGCCCGGGCTCGGGCCCTAAACCCGGTTTGGCCTGGGGTCAAACCTGGCACCGGGTCGGGCCTGGGCGGGCACCGGGCCGGGCCCGGGCCTTAGGCCCATTTGGACACCCCTAATTTTATCCATCCGCTAATAACCATTGTAGGCGTTGAAAATTACCTATAGGTCTCCACGAACAGCTCAAAGCTAAGGGAAGACGATGAACGTCACTATCCAAGTCACATAAGCTTGATTGACGTCGACGAACGCTTAAAGTGAATCGACGAACTTCGTGAAGTAACAGAGTTTCAGAATAACGAGGGTGCGAACTAATCGGGAGCCCCGCGTCGCTTACAAAAGGTGAAACACCGCTCGTATCCTAGCTTACTCCACAATGATCTAATCATCGGAGCATATAGAAATCCTCACTAGCTTTCCAACGCACTTTGAATTACTCAAATCCGAGTTCGGATGAAGAAGTTACGGCGGAAATGGACAAGTGTGCAAAACGAAACGTCTCAGCCTGAGCTAAGACCCCCCGAGGTGTCTCGGCCCAACCGAGACATCCCAATGTGTCTCGGCCTCGCTGAGACACCCAAGGGTGTCCTGGGCCCTAAAAAAAATCAGATTTTTGATGGTTATGCGGTTTTAACCGCCTGGATTCCCTGGAGCCTATAAATACAGCCCCAGGACCTTCATTTCTTCAGATCTGGAATTTTAGAGAATAGGCGAAGCCCTGCCGGACTGAGGATTGATCAAGTTTTCAGCACAGGAGAGAAAGTTTCTTCAGATCTACATCGCCCATGTCCGTTTCTTAGGATTATCCCGTTGCGGTAATCTTAAGAAGAGCAATTATCTCGCCGTTATCGAGATAAACGCTTCTGCTTCTAGATTCCTTCGCGGATCGACAAAGTCTTAGATCTGATCTAATTGTCAGGTGGTCCACGGATATTGACGTCCCCGTCACCGGCCAAAAACCCACGCAAGCAAGAGACGACGAACAGATCTTGTGTTATTTTCGAGAGAGTTGTAATTCCTTTATTTCTTTCTTTTATTGATTATTTGAATTCTTTGTAAACGGCTAAAGTTATAATGAGTTCAGTGATAAAGGCAACTTTTAGCGAAAACAAACTGGCGACCATAGTGAGAGCCAACAGCCTCGCTGCCGAGATTGTCGTGACGCAACCGGCAATCAAGATCCGGGTGAATGAAGAGATCGAATATGAATTCGATCAGCAAAAGTTTGAAGAGTACCTCTCTTCCTCCTCCTCCAGATCCGCCTCTCCAAGCAGGCGTAGGAAGGCCTCCTCTTCCAGAAACACTCGCAGGACTTCAGGCTTGAAGATCGAAGATCCCCTCGTCGCCGCTGCACTCACACCCCGCGACGCCCCTGCGACGTCCAAAGAGGTCGAAGCTGTAGATCCGGACTTCTCCTCCGCCGTGAAGATAACTGATGAAGGCGCTCCAACTTTGTCGA